ATAAGTGGTGGCTTAAATTACTTGCCCACCGCCCCCCTGCCGTCCCCGCGCTGGCAAGGTCAGGACAGAGCGCCCTGTCCCCAGGTGTGCCGGGATTTCGGGTTCCTCCTTCCCCGCCTCCTCTAACCCCGCCGAGCTATTCCTGGCGCTGCGGCCGGATCCTCGCTGACCTTGGGCACGGCTCAGATGCTGCAGCACGGCGGGCGACGCGTGCCCCGCGCTGCAGACTGTGCTAACGCCCGGGGACAGGCGACGGGCTGCTTAAAATAGCAGTTTCTCCGAAGGTCTGGCACATGGAGAGAGAAGGGGGGGGTCTCTGGGCAGCCGAGCATTTCTGGTCCGGCTGTGAAGCACAGCTGGCCACGAGAGCTTGGCAGGGTTTGGGAACGGGCTGCCGCAGCCCCGGCAAGAGTCCGGACTCCTGCGCAGCTCTCTGTCCCCTCCAGCTGCGAGTGCTGCCGGGCACGGGGAGGGGGAGACACCAGGGTCCCGCGGGAGGGGGGGACGCAGAGCGCCGTCGGGCGGGTTGCTCGGAGGGCATCCCTTCCCGCTGCCGCGGCACTCGGCACGGCGCGGGGTTTGTTTGCGAAGTGAGCGTTTGCTGAGCGTCCCCTCTGCCGCGCAGGCGCCAAGCACAAGTCGATGCTGGAGGGTCACAGCACCCAGATGCGGCGAGGCCGCGGCAAGCTCCTCTCCCGGGCAGGGCACAAGTCCAAGCGGATCGGCAACAAGGGCAGCATCAACATCCAGAACAAGGCGTTTCACTGCCAAGTGTGCGAGATCTACGTGAACTCGGAGACCCAGCTCAAACAGGTGACGATGCCGGGCCTGGCGCGTGCCTTTCCCCCGGGGGGTGCGGGGACACCGGGCACGCGGACCCCTCTGCACCGGCACCGGGGGCTCGGGGAGGGGGTACCCGGCGGTCCCCTGTGCGGAGGTGATGGGCGTCCCCCGTGGACCCGAGCCCCGCCGTGCCGTGGGTCTGCCCTCGCTGTCCCGGCTCGGGGTGATGGGGCTGTTTTGCTCTCCCAGCACATGAACAGCCGGCGGCACAAAGACCGGCTGGCGGGGAAGCCGCCCAAGCCCAAGTACAGCCCCTATAACAAGCTGCAGAAGAACGCTGCCCTCGCAGTGAGTATTCTCAAGGTACCTGTCTGCCTGCGAATTACCCACCCTGTTTGCTCTCCGAGACCTCGTTTGCCACGTTAGCCGTCTCCTGCAGGGAGGCACAGGCGCTGCTTTTCTTAAAGCTTCTGCTCCCGGGGTCACATCTAAGCTGGTCCCCCCGGGGAGGGTGGGCTGTAGTGCTGAGAGGAGTTTTGCGTCTGTATGGGTGGGAAGGAAAGCACG